CCGGCTGGATGTACGTTTCAGTGTACCATGATGTTTCTTTGAGTAGACGTTTTGGCAAAACATTTAAGATACAAATGATCAGCGTCTTTCAGAGGGACTCCTTCTCAGAAAGCAAACAGGTCAAGATCGTTCAAAATACAAGGTCGTGAATAAACATCGGCATGGTTAAAATCACCACTAACGATATAAAGGGAGCGTCCGATGAAGTTGGAAGGTTCCGGTATAAATAAATCAGCGATTGTTTTTACCAAATGTACCAAATGTAGTGATATAAATGTTTGATAAAGCGATATGTCCTAAGAAAACGGAGCTAAGATTCAACCGAAATACATGAGATGTAAAGTCAACTCAAGAGTGCACTTTATTCATCCAACGTGGGCAGAATTTTCAATGAAAAGAATGTTATCGCTTTTGCTTTGGCATTGCACGCTATTAGAAATGAGCTTTAAGATATGACAAATGGTTACTGAGACGACAATGGATCGAACACCGAGAACGCGAAAAAAAATAAGGAAAATGTCAACGTGGAAATTTACATTAGACTGTGTATAAAGTCGTTTGATATTCCCTCCCTAGAAAGCAACAGACGTGAAAGGTGAGGTACAACGGAGTTGTGAAAAGCGGTGGTACGAGTGTCTAAAGGTTTAAATTTATTGCCGGATACAGAAGTTGAAATGGAGCTAGATAGAGCTGTGTGTAAGGGATGTGACACATCAGAAAAGATGGAGTCATACAGACGGTCACACGCATCCAGGTGTGGTTGACAGACGATTCAACCGGCTCATCATAAGATACAGCTCCATATCTAGAGATATTTTTCAGAGAGCGTCTAATTAACGTGAAATCCTTAGACAGTAGACCGGGAAACATAACGGGAGAGCTGTAGGTCCAATGGCATAAAACGCATGAGAAAATAAATTTGGAGCTGATGTACAACGGCACCCTCAGATACCGAAGGCATGAAATATAAAAGATCAAAGTTCTGACTTTAAGAAATGTTTGTTCTACCTGATAGGACCATCTGAGGTCAGCAAACAGGAAAGATCCAAGATATTTGAAGTGTTTTGACCTTTCAACTTTTAAATGATTGATCAAGATATTGGGAACAGATGATCCAGAAAGAGTTGATGGCCTACGGTCAGTGGAAAACAAATCTTCAATGCATTTATTGGGGTTTAAAGAAAGATTAACACCATCGGACCATTCCGAAATGGAACTCATGGCTGATTGAAAGGGGTTACTTGAAGGGTTGTTGTTGTGCGATGCACTACCAACTACTATCGGCATATTTAAAAGTGGAAACATTTGGCAAATTTTGGATATAAAACGAGAACAGAAAAGGGGATAAAATTGCTCCCTGCATTAACAGTAGAAAACCTAATACTATTGAGACAAGTGAATTGGCGTCAGTCGGTAAAATAGTCGTGCATCCAATTCAAAAGATGCGGCGGGCGATTATTTCACCGTAACCGTGTCAATAGGATGTTTCTGTTGACAGAGTTAAACGCGTCCAAGGTCCAAGAAACAAACGTGAACAATTTTGTGTTTTCGGTGTATAGTAGATAAAATAGAATGTATAAGACAAGCAATCGTATCTAAAGTAGAGCCACACATACAATAAGCAAACTGATTCGAATCACGAAAATCAAGATTAGAGGATAGGTGCTTAATAATAATACGCTCAAATTTCTTAAGTAGTACTGAAGATGAGACGATAGGCCGAAATTCACCCTTTTCTTTCTTAGATACTCGAGTGATGCGCATATCACGCCATGTGTTAACTAGTCTTCCTTCTGACAGACGTGTGTTAAAGATAGATGGAACGGTTTGTGCGAGGTGGTTTGCACGTTTTAAGGACCACTGGGGATAACCCATCAGGACCAGCGGATTTATTTCCATTGACAGCATTTAACTCCTTTAGAAATTGCTTTGTTGTTAAAGACACAGGAAGGTGGAAATCAAGTGACGTTATGTTTTGACTCGGTAAAAGTTGCACGATGTTTTTCACTGACGCAAAAGCTTTGTTGGGCTCATTGATATCACATGAGACTGTAGCAAGTAAAGTTCAACGACCACAGAGCAACCCCAGTCCGTTCCACAGCTGACAGCAGGATTTGTCATCAAGCACGGTGTCAGCATACAATTGATTGACATGGGCCATCTCGCTTCTGATGTGAAAGTTGACAGATTTGACCGTCAATTAATCTCTTGAGCGATACACCCCTTCCTACAGCCTTAGTAACTATTGCAGTCTATCGGAGATGAATCGTTTGGATTGAAGATGAATCCTTTCCTGAGGGAAGCAAACATCATAACAATAGTTGAGGTAATTGGTAAGGTTCTCACAGAAGACTGAAATATCAGGATCGAACAGTTGTTGTAAATTCGTACCGCCAACCATGGATTTTAACTCCATCATATTGGGCAGATTATTTTGTCGTAAACGTATCTTACGTTCATTGTTCCTTATCAGGATTTGTTGCTTGCATTTGCCATATATTGTAGGTAAGACTTTAATCAGATAGTGATCGGTATTGCCTACGGGTGCACGTTTGAAGGCACGCAAAAAGATGGTTAGTTAACGAAAAAGTGGTTCATGGAGGCATCATTTCGAGTGGAAAAGGTAGCAACGTTCTGAAGGGACATAAGTGCGTAAAACCTCACATCAGATCTGTTGAAATTGCCAGCAACGATGAATACAGATGTGACAGATTTCTCCAACATGATGGATAGAATACATCCAGGAAGGTAGACAACTCTCTAGGAGTACAGTCAAGAGTGATGCAGATATTTGAAAAGATACTCGAAGAGTGACGCAGGAGAAAGCGTGGTTTACATTCTACAGAAATATAAGAAACGTTTTGTGTGCAGTGAGTAAATATGCATTTGGTGGAGTTACACCACGACCGGCGCACATAAGTGATGACGCCTCCACCTTTAGTTTTCCTTCCTGGACGTCTATCTGCTCGAAATAATTGGAAGCCTTCGATCTGAACCAATTCGTCCTCGACGGATTCTTGTAACCAAGATTCTTGGAAAAGTAGCATACGACTTTTGGAG